GCGTCACGTGACAGGATGACGCGTTCAGGACTGTGCGAATAATCGGAATTCAGCGTTGCGGTGCAGCGATACAACAACCAGTGTCACAATAATTTAACCAATTAAATAATCAACATTGTGATATGAAAAGAGTATTCTTTTATTTCAACAACATGTATGTGTTATTGGCTTTACTTGTAACATTTGCAGCTGTACATAGTTTACATAGAACTCTTTTTTTTTGTCTTTTTTCTATTGTATGTTTTATTTAATGTTTATTTTCTGTTTCTATTGTATTTTATCTGGAGCTGCTGTAGTCAGTAAATTCCCCTCAGTGTGGGATCAATAAACTCTGCTTACCACGTTCTACTTTATTATATACAGTGTATATATTTTATGTTTTATTATATTTTATTCTCTTAATTTTTACTCTTTGTACTACTACTACTGATTTTAATTTCACATATAGGGGAAGGAACATCTTATCTTTTCTAATTTAGGTAATTATAATACATATATTTTATATAAAGTCATATTTTTGTAGTTTTTTAAGAACAAACACAAAACATTTGGCTTAAACAAACTTCCAACCTCAAAACTGTATTCAAAGATTGTTAAATGCACCAGTTAATTTTATTTCCTCATCGTGTCCTTTAATCACATTTAATCATTGAAATTTAAAATAAAACTACAAAATTAATTGAAATGGTCTTAAAGTTAATCTTTTCTTGTTCTGTTTAGTCCTTTACTTTATTAGTCTTCACACAGAGGACCTGAATGCACCATTCAAACAGCTCTAATGATATCACAGTAATAATATTACTTTCCTCAGTAACTAGTAGTGGAACTAATGTCTAATAAATGTCAGTAATAACATTACAGTTACTCTCCTAGAAAATAATTAGTTTCAACATTATTTTGTTAGAACGTCTACTAATTTGATTTTCAACAATCAATCACATTCTTGGATTAATTTCTGTAATCGTGGAAATATTCAGTTACTTTGATTTTAACAAACAAGGACGATCTAAAAAGTAATTCAGTGGATTGTCACCACTTAAATAAATGGTTCTAATTTATTTATAAACTTTTTAAGTTTCAAACATTATTTTGATGAGTTGTGTTGACACAACGTGGAAAAACTAAGTAATTAAGTAATTAAAAACAGCTTTTATTTTAGAGGAAAAGCTGATTTCCAAACTCAAACATTTGTTGACACAACTCAAAAAGATCGATGACAACTTTTGTTAATTCATTTTAAAACATTTTTTTAAACTCAAATTTAAAAACGTGTTGAAATGGATTTTATCAAACATTTAAAGTAATATAAACAAACAAAACAAAATCTTTGATTAAGTAGCATTTACTCGTAATTTTAAGTGACACAAACGTTCCTTTTGTTTTTACAATACAAATTTAAATCACAAAATAAAGTCTGTCACTAAAATGTACTAAAGCTAATTAATCTACAATGTTTCTTTAACTTAATTAGTTTTACTAAAAATTTCTGTTTCAACATTTTCTTCACTTAAATGAACTTATGTGGTTTTACAGTAAGTGTGGGTCGTATGGTAGAAAAGTAACGTACCTAGTAACGTATTACTGTTGTCAGGGAGTAAAAGTAAACACAATATGTGACTCCTGGTGGAAGCTCATATTCCCGACGGCTCTCGAACGCAGCATTAAAGCGACACTGGTGCCAAACTGGATTCAGTTCATGTGAGTTTTTAAACCAGTTTAAAACCCTTTTTAACCTGTCTGTCGTCTGTGGCTTCACCTGTGGCTGTCTGTCGCTTCCTCCGACTCTTTATCCGCGTGAAATATCCACAAAATACTGATTTTAAACCGTTTTAAGAAGCTGCGTTAGCACGTTAGCGGCTAGCCAGCTGTTAGCGAGCTGCTGCAGCTGATGAAGTTATTGATCGATGATTATCGGTCGTTTAAACTCATCAAAACATTCAGAAGTTGACTCAAACGTCGAGGTTGAATTATTAATGTGTGTTTTCAGGAGTTACCGGTTGAACAGCTGTTTTTATCCCGTTTATAAAGTTTGATGCACCTGTTGCGAGTTGAACCTGCTGACTGATCAATAACCGATCAATCAATCACTGCTTGTGACACACGTTCACAGTATACTCCATGTGAAGGCAGAGCAGATAGATTTATTGATTAGTTAACACATATCGGTTCTTTCTCTCTCAGTTTCACTTCCTGGTTCCTCAGGTGTGCTCTCAGGTGAGCCGCGCGCGCACAGTCACGCGCTCTGAGCAGGTGGGTTTGTGTCTGTTGGATGTGAAGTTAATGAAGGTCCCGCCGTTTGTTTCCCACCTGTATGTGCTGATAACGAGCCTCACCTGTGAGACACCTGAACGCACCACAAACAATCTGTGCTCATGTGGAACGTGAGACAGGTACACTGTAACCACAGACAGACAGACAGACAGACAGGTACACTGTAACCATCAGACAGACGAGACGACAGGTACACTTTTAACCAAGACAGACAGACAGACAGACAGGTACATTGAACACAGACAGACAGACAGACAGACAGACAGGCTACACTGTATAACCCACAGACAATGACAGACAGACAGACATACACTGTAACCACCGACAGACAGACAGACACGACAGGTACACTGTAACCACCAGGACAGACAGACATGACAGACAGACAGTACAACTGTAACACAGACAGACAGACAGACAGACAGACAGGTAACTGTAACCACAGACAGACAGACAGACAGACAGGCTACACTGTAACCACAGACAGAAGACAGACAGGGTACACATGTAACCACGACAGACAGACAGACAGACAGGTAAACTGTAACACAGACAGACAAGACAGACAGACAGACAGGTACACTGTAACCACAGACAGACAGACAGACAGACAGACAGGACAGGTACACTGTAACCACAGACAGACAGACAGACAGACAGGTACACTTGTAACCACAGACAGACAGACAGACAGACAACAGACAGAACAGGTACACTGTAAACCACAGAGGACAGACAGACAGGTACACTGTAACCACAGACCAGACAGGCAGACAGGGTACAACTGCTACCACGACAACAGACAGACAAGGTACACTGTAACCACAGACAGACAACGACAGGACAGGTACACTGTAACACACAGACAGACAGAGAGACAGACAGAAGGTTACACTGTAACGCACTAGGAAAAGACAGAGCAGACCAGGTACACTGTACACAGACAGACAGACAGAAAGGTACACTGTAACCACAGACCAAACAGACAGACAGGTACACTGTATACCACAGACAGACAGACAGACAGACAGGTCACCTGTAACACGACGGATCAGGACAAAGACTAGACAGACAGGTTACACTGTACCACAGACAGACAGACAGACAGGAAGGTACACGTTAACCACAGACAGACAGACAGACAGACAGACAGGTACACTGTAACCACAGACAGAAGACAGACACAGACAGACAGACAGACAGAC